ACACACACACACACACACACACACACACACACACACACATTCAATGAGAGAGGTGGTAAAGTAAATAAAAATTTACTTTAAAGTAATAGATTTAGAACATTTCTTGAATATATGACAGTCTTTCTGGAGAATGCAATATTATGGTGCTTGTATATGTTGGTTGGTTATACTTTGAATATGAAGAGGCTGTTTATATACAATCATTCTGTTTTGTATTTTAAAATAATAATTTTTATTTTTTTACATTTTAAATTGTTCTAAATAGGCTCCCTATGACAAAAATATGTGGTTTTAAATATTAGAGCTTTATAAAATTGGTTTATCATAGTTCTCTTTATTTTTATTTTGCTCTATCTGAAATATAGAGTAGCTATCAAGATATAAAACATTACTACATGCCAGTAGCATGGTGAAGATACGAAAACTAGTAAAAAGCTTCATTATTGTACAAATTTTTTACTATCATTATGAAAACAGATAGAGTCATTGAGTTTTTTTAAAGCTATATATGCCTCATATCTATTCAGTAAAACAGAGATGAGCACCTCCCCCTAGAGTCGGGAATGACTAGCACATATGTGCGAGGGAACCTTTACCTTTAATGTCTTTTAATACAAGTAGTCCTCAACCTACGACCACAACTGATCCAAACTTAGCTTTTCTAAGCAAGACAGTTGTTTTGCTAGTTTTACAGCCTTTCATGCCACAGGGAATAAATCACTGCAATTAGGTTAGTAACATGGTTGTTAAATGAATCTGGCTTCCCCATTGAGTGTGCTTGTAGAATGTGGAAAACGTTGACCACATCATCTTGAGATAATGCAACTGTCATAAATACATTCCATTTACCAAGAGTCTGAATTTTGGGTTATATGACCATGGAGATGCTGCAATGATAGTAAGTGTGAAAACTGGTCATAAAGTCATTATTTTCAGTGCCGTTGCAACTTTGGTCACTAAATAAATGATTATAAGTTGTGAAATCCCAGTATTTTGAGCAAATTTATTAGACCGAATTATTTGATTAGAGAGATGTAGCTCAAAATTGTTTATGGTTGCAGAGAAAGTTTTGGATATAATTCTTTCAGTTAGTAATTACTTTCTTAGATGGTAATTGCATTTTGCTTAGTAATTGAAAATTATAGTAACTTATGTGTTATATTAAGCACATAAGTATTTAATACAAATAATGTATTTATATGGATATTGAAAAATCTCCAGCTTACCTACAGCCAAAACTTGTATTTGGAAATGTATTGTAGTGTTCTTACATATATTTTACGTATTTTCACAATAGTTGACCTGCTGTTATGACTTTTCTTATGTTTAACCTATCAGATGATGGCCTCAAAGAAAAGCAAATGTCTTTGGCTAGGTCTTCAAACCTGTAATTTGTTTAATAATCAGTATATCTCTTAAAATCTGAATAAAAACACCAGTAGAATTTGAATATTTGATTCATAATACCTGAATCTTTTGGAAAATGTGAATATTTATGTGGATTGTTAATGCAAAACAAACCTCTTAAGTCTTTATAATACAAGAAAAGGCTAAAGCAATTATATTGCCTAAAATACTGAGTAGGTCACTTGGTTTTGCCACTCAACTTACAAATTTATTCATGGTAGGTTCTACAGTCCAAAGGCATATATGTCTTAAGCATTTAAATACCTCTCTTTTATTCCTGGTTGATCAATAATGATCAATGTTACAGTAGATAATTTTCTAGTTTTCTACTAAATATTTGCTTTTGATATTAAATATTTTTAATATTGACAAATTGGACTGCTTCTATGTTTTAAACTTTTAAAGCATTAGGCATATTTACATGTGACCATTACATAGGAACTCAATTTTAAACTCATTCCTCCTTTATTATATATATTGGCCTTACAACTCAGATTTGTAGTTAAAGTTAACTAGTTTGTGCGGATTTTGAACTGTCTTCCATTTGAGTAACTTATATTTTCAGGATACAGTATTTCTCCCATTGAAACTTAAATGCATTTTTATTAATATCTGTTATGGTATTTGGAAGATTTTATTTACTTTCTTTAACAATATTCATCAATAGTGATTTTAATACATATAAAGAATTTGCTAGCAGGAAAAATAACTACATAAAATAACCTTTGTACATATTATTAAATATTATTACAAAACAATATTTAATTGTGTCTGGCTTTTCAGTTTGGGTGCCTATGACATGTTTGACATTCTGGTTAGTGGAAATTCATGTGAGCCCCCATCTGATGTCACTCTTTATAATCATATAGCTTTTATGTAGGAAAGCATGCAACCAATTCCAGAGCAGTTGTCAATTCCAATTTGATAATAATATGAAAAACTGATTACTATTTTGCCTACCCACCATATTGGTTTAAAAATTCAGGAGATGCAGGCTTGCCTCTAGACGTCGTTGGAGTATCATTTTGCATTTTGATTTGCATTAAAGAAAATGGCTTGAGAATTGAATAGAATACTTAATCATAGAAACTGACTAGGATCTGCATTCAGTGGTGGTAGCACACCCAACCAGGAATTTGACTAACTTTAAAAAAAGGCTCACATGGGTCTGTGGTTTGATGATCTAGCCCAGGACTGTCAAACGCAGATCGGATGTGTCATACTGTGCCAGACCCATGCCCAGTTTATGAAGTGGGAAACAGTCCTGATACATCACATGACGCTGCCATAACAACACAAGGATGACACCCCTGATGTAGCCTGAAGAAAACCATAGTACAGGTTCAGATATGATGTAGCTTATGTTGTCAACGCAGTACAATACACCCCAAATAAAGAATGCTTCTGGCCTTCTGATTTTGCACAACCTTTTGTACATAATAAAAGGAAACCCAATTGTGTTGTATAAGGTGACACAAAAACTGCCTCTCCAATTTTTCCTTGTCATTAAGGTTTTTTTAATTATTACACATTTTTTCAGGTATGGGAGTACCGTGTTTCCAGGGTCTTGTTTTCTTTTGATCCCCCCAAATTTTGCTTGAGCCTTATTATCAGGGGGGTGTTATTGGTTTGGGATTGCCGGGTGGCTGCTCTCTTGTGAGCAGGTGTCCAAAGAGCCAGACACAGCCTCAGGGGCAAACAGCTGTGTTGCGCTGTTGCAGCAGCGCAACAAAGCTGCCATGTGGTAACCACACTCATGAGCAGCTGCCCGGCAACGCCCCTTTCCAGCCAGGCAGAGCGCCACTCACCGACCCAGTAATATCCCAAGGGCGCTAAGCCACATGCTGCTCTGTCCAGCTGGAAAGAGGTTGCGCGAGCACTTGTTCTGCCTCCAACTCGTGTGCCTACCTGCCTCACCATACCCAACTCCCTGCAGGGCTGGGCCAGGGCACTGGCGCTATGCTCCAAGCATAACCGGCTTCCAAACTCCAGAGATCCGCTGCTGAGTCTTCCGGCAGCGGCCGCTCTGGGACTACGCTCTATGGTTGTAGGCTGGCTGTGGGAAGACTCTCTTCCAACAGACAGCCCACAACCATAGAGCGTAGTCCCAGAGCGGCCACTGTTGGAAGACTCGGCAGCGGATCTCCAGAGTTTGGAAGCCGGTTATGCTCGGAGGATGGCAGCGGGGCGGTGGCGGCCTGGCCCAGCCCTGCAGGGAAAGTTGGGCATGGTGAGACACGTGAGCTGGAGGCAGAACAAGTACTCACACAACCTTTCTTTCCAGCCGGGCAGAGTGCCACGCGGCTTAGCGCCTTTGGAATATTACTGGGTCGGTGAGTGGTGCTCTGCCTGGCTGGAGGGGGAGTTGTCCAGGGGGCTTATTATTGGGGGAGGGCGTATATTTTTGTCCACAGGAAAAATATGGCATGGTCTTATTATCAGGACATGTAATTTCGGGGAAACACGGTATTAATCTCAATTTTAATAGCAGAATTTATGATGTTGCAAGTGATTGGATATCTACATGTTTTGCAGAATTTGTTGACCATCATAGTCTTACCATTCCCAATTTCAATATCTTCTCAGTGTGTCATATACAGGTAGTCCTTAACTTATGGCTGCAATTGAGCCCAAAATGTTGGTTGCTGTGAGACATTTGTTAAGTGAATTTTGCCCCAGTTTACGAACTTTCATGCCACAGTTGTTAAGTAAATCACTGCAGTTGTTAAGTTAGTAACATGTTTATTAAGTGACTATGACTTTATTGACTTGCTTGTCAGAAGGTCGCAAAAGGTCACATTAGGATATTGCAACCATCATAAATATAAGTCAGTTGCCAAGCATCTGAATTTTGATCATGTGATCATGGGGATGCTTCAACGGTTGTAAGTGTGAAAAACAGTCATAAGCCATTTTTTTGGTATGTTGAACTTTGAACATTCATTAAATGAACTTTTGTAAGTAGAGAATTACCTGTATTGATGAATACAATGGAGAGAGAGAGAGAGAGAGAGATGTAAATGCACACATATAATTTAAAGAAGAAACTAAATTTTGTTTTGAATATTCTAGCAACATGAACTTTTATTAGTTTCCTGTCTTATTTTATCTGTGTTATAAATTCTAAGGCATTGGTTGAGCTTTCATTCTTAGGACTATTAGTTTTTTTTGTTTCAAATTAATGTTCTCTGCAACCATAAGGAGACTTTAATTAAATAAGGAAGGGTTCCTCCCATTTTATTTTTTGTCTCACTTTTCTGTCTATGTAAAATCCAAGGCAAATTGTATCAATTGAATGTACAATATTAGAAATGCAAATTATAAAGCATGAAATAATTAAAAACAAGGCAAATTTAAAATCAAAACTCAGTCAAGTAAAAATTTGATGAAAGATGAGTTTTTATACAGTTCTTAAATTCTACGGTAATATGGCCTGAACAAATCTCCTTGGAGAATGTATTCTATAGCTAGGGAACTCCGTAGTAGAGGATTCTCTCTTGTGTATTCGATGGGTAAATTTTTGACAGTTTTGGAGGTGGACTTCCAAAAGATCCCTTTCTACTTAATTAAGTAAACAGGCAGGTAGATGGATAGAGGGAAAAGTAGTCCCCTTCATGAAAATGCTTTTAAAGATTGGGATTTTTGAAATGATGAATTCTAATAGCAGATTTTTTGAATCCCAGCATTCTTTTTAATGTTGTTTGGAAGAGGATTTCCATGTTAAACCATATGTTAAATAATAATTCTTGATAGTGTATTCATTCATAGATATACCTGATCTTTCATTATAGAAATATTTGTATCATTGCTACTTAGCAGAATCAGAGATGTTCATGGCTATATTTTAATACTGTTAGTAGCAGAAAGATCTAACATTGGTTTTATACAGACTGAGAAATAAGAATGAACTGTTGGTTTTGAGCCTATTCCTATAAAATGGAAGGTTCTATAGTGGCTAGAAATTCAAAAGTTTTTTGTCCAAATACAGTGTCAAAACTTCTAGTGTACACAAAGAAATTACTATAGGAGAGAAAAGGAAACTACCAAGGGATGAAGAGGGCCCATGAACAGGATGCAAAGATGCTAAGTGATTGGATATCTAGAATTGTGGTTTTAATGCCTGCTTATCTTTAAAAAACTTTTTGTTATAGTTTGGGCCTGAAATATAAACTTTGATTTATAATTTCTCCAGCCTGCTTTAAATGCAGTTTGTGGATTGGATTACGTAAAGTTCTGGTTTGATGCTTTCTTGGAGGGTTTTTCTTTTTTTGGTGCCAATTTTTGATTGGATTTAAGCTTTGTCACTTCATGTTGCAGTTTACATGAAAGACTTGTTATTATCTTGCTTTTATATTAGTCTGTGTAGAAAGTACCATGTAAATAGATGTAGAAAATAGAATTCTCATTCAAGATCTTGAGGTACATTAAAAAATAATGATTTCTAGGTTAAACATGTGGTGTCATGAATAGTCTGACCTAGTCGTTGCTTTTCTCATCTGCAGGTGTGTGTATTTCAGCGCAGCATGGCTGTGGTCATCCGCTTACAAGGTCTCCCAATTGTGGCGGGGACTATGGACATTCGTCACTTCTTCTCTGGATTGACCATTCCTGATGGGGGCGTGCATATTGTAGGGGGTGAGATGGGTGAGGCTTTCATCGTCTTTGCCACTGATGAAGATGCAAGGCTTGGTATGATGCGCACAGGTGGTACCATTAAAGGGTCCAAAGTCACCCTGTTGCTGAGCAGTAAAACTGAAATGCAAAACATGATTGAACTCAGTCGTAGGCGTTTTGAAACAGCAAATCTAGATATACCGCCAGCAAATGCTAGCAGATCTGTTCCACCACCTAGTTCTGGAATAAGCAGTAGAGTGACTCTTTCTACTACAGTATCTAATTTTAACAGCCCTTCTCCTAGTGTTGTAACTGCAGCTACTTCAGTTCACGAAAGCAACAAAAACATACCAACATTTTCCACTGCTAGTATGGGAACTGCACCTCCCAATTTGGGTGTTACTTTTGGAAGCCCCACTTTTAGCTCTACTATATCTAGTACTGCATCGCCAATGAACACAGTTCCACCTCCACCAATACCTCCTATTCCAGCTTTACCATCATTGCCCCCAATGCCTTCTATTCCTCCCATACCTGTTCCTCCTCCTGTTCCTACATTGCCTCCTGTGCCTCCTGTCCCCCCAATACCTCCTGTGCCTCCTGTCCCACCTATAACATCTCTGCCTCCTTTATCAGGAATGCCTCCTATGAATCCCCCACCTGTTGCTCCTTTGCCTGCTGGAATGAATGGGTCTGGAACAGCAATGAATTTAAACAGTAACTTGAATCCAATGTTCATGAATCCTATAAATGCTATTCAGATCAATTCTCAAAGTAGTGTGAAACCTCTTCCTATCAATCCAGACGATTTGTATGTCAGTGTTCATGGAATGCCATTTTCAGCAACAGAGTCTGATGTCAAAGATTTTTTCCATGGACTCCGTGTGGATGCAGTACATATTCTGAAAGATCATGTGGGGCGCAATAATGGAAATGGACTAGTTAAGTTTTGCTCTCCTCAAGATACTTTTGAAGCCTTGAAAAGAAACAGGATGCTGATGATTCAGCGTTATGTCGAAGTTAGTCCGGCAACAGAGAGACAGTGGGTTTCTGCAGGAGGTCATATCACATTCAAGCAAACTATGGGTCCTTCTGGACAAAACCTTCCTCCTCAAAATCTCTCTATGTCCAAATCTCCTAATGGACAGAAAAGATCAAGATCCAGGTCTCCACATGATCAGGGTTTCTGCGTTTATTTGAAAGGTCTTCCCTTTGAATCTGAGAACAAACATGTAATTGATTTCTTTAAAAAACTAGATATTGTGGAAGACAGTATTTACATAGCTTATGGACCCAATGGGAAAGCACTTGGTGAAGGTTTTGTTGAATTCAGAAATGAAACTGACTATAAAGCAGCTTTGTGTCATCATAAGCAATACATAGGAAATCGTTTCATTCAAGTTCATCCCATAACTAAAAAAGCTATGTTAGAAAAAATAGATATGATACGGAAAAGACTACAGAATTTCAACTATGATCAGAGAGAAATTATGATAAATGCAGAAGGAGAGACCAGCCCATCTAAACTCTGTGCACACATATCTAATATCCCCTACAATATTACCAAAATGGAAATTCTTCAATTTCTTGAGGGGCTGGCAATAGAGGAGAGTTCCATACAGATACTTGTTGATACTAATGGACAAGGATTAGGACAAGCGCTGGTCCAATTCAAAACTGAAGAAGATGCTCGTAAGTCAGAGCGCCTACATCGAAAGAAACTGAATGGGAGAGATGTTGTGTTGAGAGTGATTTCTCTTGAAGAAATGAGAGAAATTGAGAGAAATCCTCCTTCTCAGGGGAAAAAATTGTTGAAAATGCCATTACAAGGGGGTGCAGCAATGCCAGGAGTACAGAATGCTGGTGGGGATGAGCATTCTTTCTTAAGTGGTAGTTCAAAAGATGCAAAGAGTGGTCCTCCTTTTCATTTTCCTGGCAATTTCAGTGGTTCTAATGTATTTGGTCCTCCTCTTCCACCACCAGGAATAGGAGGAGGTGGTTTTGGTGACTCCAGGCCAGGAATGCCTGCTATTGGAAACAGTGGCTTGCCTGTTCTGCCTGGTGCAGGTATTGATGTCCCAGGTTTTGGAGGTGGGCCTAGTAATTTAACAGGCCCCTCTGGTTTTGGAGGAGGTCCTCAGAATTTTGGGAATGGTCCTGGTAATTTAACTGGTCCTCCTAATTTTGGTAGTGGACCCCCAGGTCTTAATACTGGGCTTGGACATATGAGTGGACCTCCAGGGTTTGGACCTGGACCTGGACCTGGAAATATGCATATGACTGGGCCACCTGGGTTTGGAGCTGGGTCTGGTAAACCGGGGCCTACTGTCATTAAAGTTCAAAATATGCCCTTTACTGTATCAGTGGATGAAATTTTGGATTTTTTCTATGGTTATCAAGTAATTCCAGGTTCAGTGTGTTTAAAGTACAGTGAGAAAGGCATGCCTACAGGTGAAGCAATGGTTGCATTTGAATCTCGTGATGAAGCAATGGCAGCTGTTGTTGATCTGAATGACAGACCAATAGGCTCACGAAAGGTCAAGCTTGTTCTAGGTTAGTTGGAGTATAACATCCTTGTAGATTAGATATTAGTGCTGTGATTTATGCATTCAGACTGTTTTATAGTAGCTCCAGGTAGAAACTATAATTTGTTTAAACTTCAAATTTGTTTTGATAAAAATGAGAACACTGGTTTAACTGTTTACAGAACAATTGCTGAAAGAGAAAATATGCATCAGAGTAGATGTGCAGTTCTGCCAGTACAGATATATGGAAAAGGATTCTCATTAATAGAGAAGTTTTCTAATGCTTAATTGACCATGAAATATTCATCATGGAGTCCAGATTGGTTCCTTGAAAGTTAGGAAAGTTGAAGAAAATTGTCATGATGAAGTTAGTGATCTCTTAGTGGGTGCTATTGAAGCCATTGTAAAATAGAAGCTAGATATTCCTAGAGTTGGTTAAAAGCTGGCTGAATTTCTTTGTTTACACGAGTCAAAGATTTTTCTGTTTTTAAAGCATTACTTTGCAACTGAATAAAGTCAAAGTATACACAGATTGTTTATGTACTTGTTTTCAAAGATTCTTGGTTATATGGACAGTGAAATTACAGAGATAGGTGGTTTTCCTATATATGAACAGAACAATCCGTAAAATTCCAGCTTTTTTGTGGAATAATTTTAGTTATTATTGCAACTGATATAGAATATATTTGCCACAAGTGCAGGTACCCTTGTTGTCGTTCTTCATGTTTATTCACTGTATGATTAAAATGAATACGTGAAGGTGCCATGCAATGCCATAACTTGAAAAAAATTGTTTGATTAGATGGTTTTGTTAGGATTGTATGTTACAGTTGGAATAGGATGCTTATCATTTGGTTTTTGTACACTGTGTATGTTGTGTATCTTTTTGAATCACATTCTTATGAAATCTCTTGGTTTAAAACGTGAACATAAGGGACTGATGCGAAGTGTTAATGTTAGTAATCATTTGTGTTACTATTACTTCTTGAACTTTTGTGAATTATTACTATGGATCACTTAAGACATTAAAGCTTTGCAAACATATCCCAGTACATTTGAGTTCTTACAGTCTTTACAATGGCTTATATTTTCACTTTCAATCTCTATGTAGTGTTGTTTTTTTAAGTAGGATTTTCTTAGGAAAGAGAAAATACCATTATATAGACAAATCAAAGTAGAAATTTGGACTATTCATGATTAAGAGTTCAAAAATGGAAAGATTGAAATAAGTTGTTTGAAAAACCCTTTGAAAATCATTGTATTTTAAACAACTTAAAAGCTATTCTGTTCCTAGTTAAACAGTATCTTTTGAGTTGTGTATGATGGAACATTTGAAGTGCACAGCCTGTTTTGATATAGAAATGCAAGTGGCGACTGTTCTATTCACCCATTGTGTAAGATGGATGCAAAAGCCTATTGAATGCTACATCAGGAGAGGAATTTTGCAGTTCAGTAATTCTTTGAAAGACGGTGTGAAGGTGTTGCAATGAAGAGGTGGCTGCATTACAACTATTGTAATTCATGGATTTGAAATTGCTTTGACAGGAACTGAGATGGTGCACTCCTGAAAAAATGACATGATTGATTGTACTACACTGTTAAACTTACTAAGCCTCTTGTTAATAAAGCTGTCTTTCTGAAGATTTGAGCTATCTATTTTTAATTGTTTGGTGTACTTCAACAGCAAAGGCCAATAAAAATACAGAATTTGGGTTGGTGATCTGACTAGGAAATGAAAATTTCTTTTTATTTTGAAAATCGTTATTTAATGGGGGGAATCGTTTCTGTGAAGCAAAAAATCTCAGTTGAATCCAGATTAGCTGTTCCATAAATAAAGCCCCATTAGTTTATGGGTGAAAGGGAATGGAGAGACAGTTTCATTGATTTCCTGTTTTGCTGCAGCCTTGAGTATGGTCTCACATGTTGCTCTGGTAAGTTCCCATGTCTTCAAAGACAGATTTTTGGAAGACAAAGGAATCATTCAGAAATTGCCTCATTGTTTCTTTTCAGTACATGAGGGTCCAGCTCACTGAGAGGTTGAATCAAAAAGTTCCTCTCCATGAAGAAAAATACTTCAACTACTAATATAAAACTTTCATGAGCTGCAATTTTGTGTGTGAGCAGAGTGATATCTTTGGTTCCAGCTAGATATTTTAATGGAACAATTGATTAAGAAAATAATGTGTGACTTACTTGATACTTAAAATTGCATCTCAGCATTGCTTTTCACGGTGCGAATTGCAATTAAAGTGCTGAGTTTCTTATTTAACTATATGACTGTCATAGTATTTGAGATGAGATTATTAGCATACTTCTGCGTATTCTAGAACAGGGGTCACCAACCTTTTAGACCTCAGGGAGCACTAAATTCATAATTTTAAATCCTGCGGACCACTAATATAGTTTTTTAAAAAGATAAATAGTATTTAGTGCAATATAAAAATGCAAATAATTTTTCTGTGGACCACCAGTTGGTGGCCGCTGTTCTAGAAAATATTACAGAAGTGTGAGATTCTTATATATAATTATTTAATATTGCTTTGCAGATGGTGTTGGATATCTCATTACTTCAGTAGTTTTTAATATCTTAAAAATCATACACTAGTATGATTTCTATATATATATATACCCGAAGACCAGATAGAAGTGAAGAACAAACTGCAAAATATGATTCTGTTTGTTAGGAGAGGAACCAGAGCTTTTCTTCACACATGCACAAGAACGTCCAGTTATGATTAACAAAGATTGAATCTTAATATAGTAATGTCTGATATCAGCCACAGAAAATTTCTTGTCTCCATAATGCAAGTTAAAGTGAATTTTGGAACCTGTGTTAAAGGTTCAGTAAGGTTAAAAGTGTCCTAGAAATTTGTGTAAGCTGGCAATGGGGAGTAGACCTTATTCTTTTCTTCACTAGTAACTTTTTGAGAAGCCATTTCTTTGAATCTTGAAAATGGTATGAGGATATTGTAAATAAAAATTAAACTTGCTGGAAATGGAAGAATTCACCTTCCAGAGATAGGTTCCTCTTGTGCTGGGATCCATTATAGGTCTAATTAGATTCAATAGATTTTTTCTGTAATTTTCATTGAAAAACATTAATTTGATTAAACATGGAACATTCTTAATTGAAGGATAGAATATCTTTTACATAAAAACAGAGCATCAGAAAATCAAACCCTTATAGAAGTGAGACATACCACATATCAGTATGCCAAGGATAATAATGATTAAACTTACTGTCACTTTGAAAATTGTTTTTAGCATATATTAGTTGAATAATAATGCTGCTCCTTGTTTTAATTTTACACATATTCGCTTTAAATTGATGGTTAAAGAGCAAGCATACTATAAAAGTGATATTTTTTGAATTGGAAATCTGATAATCTTAATAGTTGCAGCAATACCTTACTACAGAAATAGATAACTTGCTTTGAAATTGTTAGTGATAATTAAGAGTAAGCCTTGTTGGAAATAGTGAGATTGAATGAATTTACATAAAGAGGAGGTATTGGAAATTAGCTAATAGGGAACTATTATTAATTTACTTGCTAGGCCTCCCAACCTCCAAACCACTCTTACTTCCAATCAAAAACAAACGTATAAAAATACAGCTGACCAGAAAAACAAAAACCAAACCAAAACATAATAAAACAAAAAGATACCACAATTCCCTATCCTGTATGCCTGGGAGAACAGCCAGATCTTCAGTAGTTATCTGAATGATATTACAGTGAGATCACCCAAATGGGCATGGGGAGATATTATTCCATAGTGCAATACAGTATATTTTCCTTCAGAATGACATTCTTTAATTGACAGGATCCAGAGTACATTCAGCCTGCTGGATTGAATCAGACAGGCAAAGATAACTTGAAGACAAACTGTTCCTCAGATAGCTAAGCCCTATGACATGAAGAGCTTTGAAGGTGATAACTAGCACCTTGAATTGAACAAACATGGAAGCCAACTGGCAAGCAGTGCAGCTTGCAAAGTAATTGATTCACATGTGCATAACATGATGCCCACATCAATGTCTTTCCCATGCATTCTGAACCAGGTGTAGCCTCATAATGTTCTTTAAGGGCATCCCTGTGTAAAGCATGCTACCTTAATCCAATCATGAGGTAATATGATATAGATGACTCTCTTTAGAGAGTCCAGGAAAATTACAACTGGTTTATTAGATGTACCTGTTCAAAGGACATCTTGGCCACAGCTTACATTTTGTTTTATGAGCAGAAGCTAAAACTTCAAATGGACCCCCAGATTGCATACAAGTCTCCTATAGGGAAATGCAGTCTGATTTGAGAGTCAACAAAGAATCCTTCTGGATGGGAGTGGGGCAGCGGTAAATAGACATATTCTGTGGTCAGAACTTGTTAGGACTGACCCTTAATCTGTTCCTCCCCATCTAGACCTGCACTTCTTCCAGGCACTGGGTTAGGACTTCAGCGGCATCTCTTGACAAGCCAGGAGTTAACAAGCACTGTTGGATATATTTGATGCTGTTACTATCGTGAAGATTTGCACAAAATGTGTATGTTAAAATATGATTTAAACCATTAAAAACTGATATTTTAACTGCACCACATGAATATACTTCTAATAAATTTTTGTAAATTTTGATTAGAAATTTATAGCTTTTTCAAACAGTTCTATTTAAAAATATTCTTGTTGGTATAGAGCAAGAATGTATAATGTTACCCCATCGGTATACAGTATGCTTTACTAAATAACATAAGAAAAATTAGTTTATTCCAAAATGATTATAGATTACATTCAGGTGGGGAACAGACAGGTGTAACATAATCTTAAATGTGTAGTTACAGAAAGATTTATTTAGAACCAAAATTTCACAAGAAACGTAGGATTTAAGCAGAAAATAAGCACTGATGCATAAAAGAGAACAAAAAGATAGGAAATTTTTTTTTTAAATAGCTGGCATCAAATAGCTGATTCTCTTTTTTCAGGTCATGTTTTGGGAATTTGGTGAAACCTACAATATAATTTAACTTTCA